GGTTTCTTCATTCAATCCGCGACAATTTGAGAACGTATCGATTACCAAAGAGGAACTACTGATCATGCAAATTGCTTCTGGGTAACCATCGTCGTGTACGATGATGTACATAATGACAGGACGAGGTGAAAGTTGCAACGATTACCATTTAATGTTTCAATATTGAAATCAAGTCCTCCTGCAGTCTCCTAACATCGCGTAACCACGATGGAAGTAAAACAGTTGCAAATACATTAGAGAAGGACCCTCGGGACAGGGGATAACGTTTCATAGTTAGCAAACGCATAATTCTCAGACGAATTTCAGTGAGATTTCGCATGGAACGCGTTTCGAGGATATGCATACGTATTCTGGCATTGAAATGGACGGTTTTGGGGAACGCGTCGCGACGCATTCAAACATTTTTATCGCGAACTACCCTCGAATGTGCGCGACACTTTCACGCGAGCGCTCGGCTCGGCGAAGAGAATGAAAGGAGCAGACAAAGGGACGCGCCGCGGAGGAGGGAACTCGTCGAATGTCGAATTCTTTCATTAGCCGAAGGACCAGTCACGGAAATCCGGGATCCCGGATGCCCGTTTTGTATCGCACGCTCTCTAGTTATTTTCATTACGCGTTTTCTCTTCTTTTGTTTTATTTTTTTTTTAAACTTCACCCGTTCGTTGAATTTCTTCCGTCTGCTTTTTTGCTGGGGCTCCGTTTGATAAGAGTGTGAAATAAATAGCGAAGAAAAAGGAGGCGAAGTGTAGTAACTTAAATCGAGAATAATTATACTTGGATTACTGTTACGGATCATTTGAAGTATTCTGAAATGTTCCTGCTGACGCAAATCAGATCACGGAAAGTTATATTACTCTGGAAATTCTCGTCGCAACTAAATTGACGAAGAAATCTATTTCACGTAATTAATCCACTTGAGACGACGTCGAATCATTTGTCACAATAAGAGCAGGATTCCCTCTACAGAGAAGAAAAAAATGAACTAATGAAGTAAGATAAATGAAAAGAGAAGAGGAAAATGTGGATCATTCTGAAAGGGGTAGAAAATCAGAGTTTACTATTTCCTCGCAGAGTTTATTGTCAACAGACGCAGATGTCCCGGGGACTAATCATTGCATCTGAACAGGCCCATGTTTGGTTAGAATGCCATCTTTCCGGGCAAATGTTCGCCGTCGTCGGGGCTTTAGACAAATACAAGTGCCGGGTGCCGCCGTGCTGTTTCCTTTCCCCGTCTGTTTGGAAACTCAAAAGTATATACTCATCTTTCTCTGTCACGAGTAGAACTTGACACACGCTCAGTCTACTTACAATCCTTGAGAACACAGATCTTCGAGAGACACTGGCAGCTAAAGAACATTTTTGAAACATTGAAGAGGTAAAATATACAAAAGAACAATAATTTGCGTCGTCGTAAATTATTTATTCCCAGCTGCCGTCGTTAATCTTCAATCTACGCATAAGAATGCTAGCTTCGATTCGTTTCATCGAAGTCGGTATAATTAGAAAACGAGAAGCACGAACGCTATTCTAAATCATCCGTCGCGGACGGGTGTTTTCTTATCGTGGTCCGTACATCTGCTGGCTCTCCGAGATGCATGAAAACGAATTTATAAAATATTTTAATTAGCTTATCATCGTATCGGTGACAGCTGTCCACGAAAGCGCGTGCTTCTAATTGCCGATCCAGACGACAGATGACGAACGAGCACTCTTGCGTCTTCATCGATCTACCCTTCGGTATTACTGTTATTATCCATATTAATCGCCTGATCACTTCTGAGTACGCGAAAACAACTATTATTACGCTTGATGCATACCTCTTTGATGAAGAATTTATGGAAATTGCCAGAATGCGTTCAGAAGATGTAGATAGAGAATGATAAAGCAATATTTAATACTAAAATGGATTTATCTCGAATGGTATCATGGTACGTAAACGCAATTATCCCTTAAGACTAATAAGGTAATTATAACGCTGTCAAACACGTGTTTTCCCGTGCATTCATCCCGTTTACCTCCCAAGGAAAGCATCGAACCGAACTTGAATCGAATGGGAGAAGAAAGATTCTTGACGGATATCTTCGATAAATATCGGTTAATAAACTTATCATAATATTCGATTAATAAAAGGGTTGACCCTTGTCAAAGTTAAAGGTATCACGGAAAAATCACTGCCACATATTATGAGCTCATATGCAATTATGCGAAAAGGGCAGGACAAAATAGTGATGTAAAATTATAGTATCAAACTCTGAGAGTTTCATTCTTATTGCTTACAATATTTCTTTACATTATTATCTCTCGTCAACTTTTAGTGATCGTTAAATCATTTGCCATTCGTTCATCACTGGTATATAAAAAATTGTTCTCGGAAGTCGTTCACTCTGTTCAAAACGAGAGAGCTAACACACGGAATTTACCATATCGAAGGAGAGAGTTACGCAGGTCGGGGACATGACAAAAGAGAGAATTTCTTTGCTTGGACGATTAATTACGCCCTCATTCCCGCCCCAAGTGCGGCTCTCTTGACGATGCATCGTCGATATTGACATTTGCCTTGCATCCCTTGCTCCTTTCCACCCCCTCTGTCCCAGCTTTCACCCTTCTTCCTCTTTCCCTCTCTGTCCAACCGCTTCTATCGTTCGTGGTTGCATCCGTGCAACCGATTTGCCGAAGGAACGCGGCGAATTCAGCCGTGTGCGTGCACGCACCTCATCTATGCGTATACGTACAGAACGGGTGTACCTGTGCCGTGCGTTTGTCCCCCTTTGCGCGGAGCTTTCTCCTGTTTACCGAGAAACCGCGATATTTACGCGAGAGCAGGGTGCCGCAAAGGTGCAACGAGCTGAGGCGCGGGGGCCGGGCGAGCGGAAAAGCGCGGAGAGAGAGAGAGAGAGAGGAAAAAAGAGAGTGCGCCGGGCAAAGAAAGCGACGAATCGAAGGGAGCTTTAACGGAAGAACGACACGGAGAGAGAGAGAGAAAGATGAACGGAGCCGATGGAGGGTCACGATGAACGAGAGAGAAAGAAACAGGGTGAAAAGTAGATGCGTAGCGGGAGAAGGGGTGTAAAAAGCCGAGCGAGAGAGGGAGCGAGAGGGAAAAGGAGAGATATGGAATTAAGGGGACACACCCCTATCTTTCGAGCGTACGCTTATCGAATGCACCACGCTTTTCCTCGTTCGCTCACCAAGACGGTTCTGTCATGCGAGGCAGCCAGGTAGGTTGGTAGGTAAGCTAGGTGCTGTAGGTTGGTGGGAATGCGCGTACAAGGGAATTAGACCATAATCGTCCACGCGTGTGCCGCGCGCGAAGGGGACGTTTTCCGCCTGCCTCGGACCTCGATGTTCACTCGCGCGGCGGGGATCCGCTTCGCTCTTACACCGTACGTACACCTTACGTCCACCGACCACCTACTCGACAACCCTTGTCCCACCTACTCCATCCTCTGATTCTATCTTCGCGTCTCTCGTTTACTTCCTTTCTTTCTCACCGCTGTGCTCAGTTCGTGAGACTGTTCGCCCGTTGATTCTGATCGCTTCCGAAAGAAACCTGGTTCGGCGAAGATCGAGCAAGATTACGCGACTTCTCGTTCCACGTACTGTCGTTTTAGAAATATTTTTATTCATGCCCTCGAAACAACAGTTGACTGTAATTCTATTCTTATTACTTCAAGAAGTTTGTTTCAAACATAAGAGCATTGTAATATTAAAATCATAATATTGCATATTGTTTTTTTGTTACGGTTTCATTTAACCGTGAAAGTCCATACTACTGACATACATATGAGTGAATTAAAAAGCGAGATATTTGTAGAATATTGTATGTCTTATACTTATTTTCCGTGGTCCCACGTTTGCATTTATTCACGAAACGAATTTAAACGTTTACCCGCGTCATGACGCGTCGACGAAAAAATTCTGAAAGCTCTAACAAGTCTACTACGTGCGCCATCTGCGAATGACCTTTGAAGGTCGTGAATTCTTCCACTGGTGTGGTAACACAGGTCTCTGCACTGAGCGACTGTAGACAAGGAACAATTACTCCATAAAAATGTTACAAATTTTGTACTCTCTCCCTCTTTTATTCGTGTTCATTTTTAGATCTGCATTGATTCCTATTTCTTATTTTTAAAATTGGGTTGGCGTAAAATAATCTTTAACATCGCGTCGAATATTTGACCGATCGAGAAAACTACCCTCTTCGCTTCAAAACGGAAACGATATGAAATCCCCTATTTCTTATTAACATTTAATCTCCTAAATAAATAACGTTAGAAAAACAACGCTGAAACTGGTCGACCAGCTTTTTTATTGCGATACTTCCTGTTAATAAAAACGAACGAAAATAAAATAAGTAAATGTCAGGGGTAACAAGAAAATAAGAGCGAAAAAAAAAACAAGCAGAGACAAAAATAATAGATTAAGGGTTGACAGGCTTAGTTAAAGGCAAAAAGATGTAAAGGAAAAGGAAACAGTAAATGTAAGTAGTGAATGCGTTCTATCGGTGCAAATTTTCAACGCCTTCGCGTCGCGTTGCAATCTCCCGGTTCCAATCATCCCCGTTAATTTCTATCGAACCGATCGAAGATCTATCAAACCCGCGGGTGAGCATCTCCAGCCGTCTTTCGCCCCGGAATAATCTAAATCGTTTTGTCGTCGGGAATCTAATCTAATACCGCTGGCCCTGGAAGGTTATACTTTTATTGGCGCGTCTATTGGACTTAACGAGGTCAATTGAGGTGATACGGTTGCCTTGATTTTACGATAGTCCATCGTCGTTGCGATAACGATTCGAAAGCTCTCTCGCGCTCCGCGATTTCGCGATGTCAACTGGAAATTATGGAAACGTATACCTTCGTTTCATTTCCGAGTGAAAAAAACGATTTCTGGCTGGAATTGATCGCAGCTCTGATTTAGGTCTTAAATCTTGATGATGTTGGTAATCCAGGCGGAAGATAACGAGAATGTCTTTTTAAATGAAACTTCCGATTGTGTTTCAGCACCTGTACCATCTGCAGACGGGCGAGGGTGCGTTCAGAGAGAGGGGGAGAGGCCGAGGCAAAGGTGCAACCAGGGTGAGTACCTGCCTTAAATAATTGAATCTTGCAAGTTTTAGTGGATTCCATTAAACGACCCGTTATTATGTTTCCAAAAAAATATTCAAAATGATTCAACGGGTAACAATGAGCAGTCACAAATAAGAAAGTAAACCATAATTGGTTCATTCTTTCCGATTTGTAATCTGCCTTTTCCTCCTATTCGCTCGAAATTTCAAGAGTCGGAGGTCTGATATGCATTTCGAGTACGAGTGTACGGTATTTATGACGCGCCTCCTCTCATGGATCTTGTTTCCGGTACAAGCTCTTTCCCGAGCTTTTCTCTGTTCGCTCATTTTTTTTATTTGGTTTCGTTTTCCTAGTTCGTCTCTCTTCTTTTTCTCGTCGGTGTTTCTTGTTGACGAGCACTCCTCTTTTTCAAGCGCACTCGGCTCCACTTATCCGCCACGTTTCTAATTCTAGAAACGTGGTAATGCACGAGTAAACGGCCTCGTGTTCGCAATCATTCAAAAATCACATTTCACCTTTTGCCAGTTGTTGAAAACCCTTTTGAATCGGCTGTTAAAGATGTATTGGCTATACAGTCAATCGCAAAAGTTTATGTACCTTAGAAAAACGCATTTCCTATAATTAAAAAGAAATCAAACGTCGGAAGAACAGTGCTAATAATAAATAGCTACGTGCTAACAAGTATAGA